GTCTTACTCAAGTTGCAACTACGGTATGGAAGGTATGAGATTTAGTATGCTATTTGCGGTCATAGTGGATCGAATGCAAGATCAAGATCACCAGCTAATACTAAAAACAAAATTGTATCATTCTTGTCCTCAGATGTAATTTTGTGAAATGGCATACTCCGATCAACGTGGAATCTGCAGCTATATCAGAAGGCTCAAAGAGAATATTCATGGAGAGGGTCGATGCAAGATGAGCATTATGAGGGGATTTTCAACCTGAATTTTTGAGAACTGGGAGTTGCCAGTTCAATAGATCCATGACCACAATTATGATAATCAATTCCACATATTCATTCATCTGTCTTTTAGTGTTAGTGATTGTGTTGGTTAAGGGTTTATGTAATGACAATTTAGTGCTTCCAAACTGTATGTAAAGATTGTTGAATGATATTAAGTTTGAGCTTGTGGTTGACTCGTGATTTTTGTGTATCTAATTGATGTGTTGGAAGTGTATTAAGTTTGCCTAAATCTGATATATTGCATTGGGAGACATGTTCATACTAGGGTGTTTATCTTTTTTCATATTTGAAATGGATTGGTAATCTACCTTGACAAATCAATGTTTGAGCTTGGTATTTAGCATTTTGTTGATAATCTAGTGAGGAGTTGCTTTGATGATTGCGTCAGGAATGTAAATGTGGAAGAATTGGATCAAAATGGATGCAAACAAAACTTCTAATGATAACTATAAAACTTGATTTTATGTAGCCCGAAACCAATAAATAGTGTCAACTGCCATATTATTGAACAAACATTCCAATTTTTTATACCAATTATACTAATAAAACGATGCATCCCTGGTTCATTTAACACAAAAGGACTGTTTAAAAATAAATCATCATGTGATCTAATCACAAGTTTTAGATGACCAAAAGGAGAATAGACATAAATTCAAGCACTTCGCAACCTATCTCAAAACCTATACTGGTAGCTACCAAAATATGAGCACTTTATGTGTCTCAATTACATTACTAATCAAGACAAACAAAACAAGCATACCACTAAGACAAAGATAAACACTTGATTACAGCTTAAGTACTTAACAAACAACAAGAAGTCCAAATGGCTTAGACATTTGCAGTTGGCTCACGACTTGCATGAAGAAACACCTGACTTTGCTAATGAAGCATATTCATGTCTAGCAGAGTTTTGAGGGAGAGAAGTTGATGCTGCAGCTTTTGATTTTTCAGTAGCAGCATGTTGGAGCACAAATCTTCCTGCCAACTCACTTCCAAGAAGGGATGATGCCCTGATACTTCCAAACACCCTTTGAAGGCCCTCCGAATTAGTTAAATACTGGAAATGAAGTAATGATATTATGAGTATAAAGTTACAACTATTAGGTTTTACTTATCTTACAGGATATCTTTATCCCAAAAACAAAGAAAAATTACACAAACCTGAGTGAGCTTAGTTTTGTTTTGGAGGCTTGACTTGGAGTTTGCAAATCTGATTGGTGTACTCTTCTTTTTCCAAATACTTTCTTAGTAGATGGCAAATCTAACAAGGTGCTTGGTTCAGGGGTATCATATCTAAAGTGTGGGTTTTCATTCCAAAGTTTTTCATTTATCACGCTTGGTTTGAGGGTTTGAAACCATCAAATGAGATTTGAAACCCAATTTTCCATTCCACACTAATTTGAGAGGTATGATAGATAGCAAAACAAATTTTCTTTTCTACCCTTTTTATTATACACTGTAAACCTCAAACCATCATTTTTTTCATATCTCATCACCATCATTGTTGCTCTTCCTGCACTTCTCTCATCACCCCCATTGTTGCTCCTCCTACTCTTCTCTTTCTCGCTCAGCCGCCGCCTCCACATCTGCTGCCACAATTTTGCCGACCATTAAAGTATCAGTTAGATCTATTTCAGATATGTTTAGTCCATTCAAAATTCAATTTCCTTTTTGTTCTTGAAAGTTAATTTTGGAATGTTGGATAATTGATCACTCTTTGATTTTTCTGAAAAGATGATAAGAAATAAAAATCAAATAAGTAGATCTAGCAACTGAATTATGGCTCGATTTTGGAAATTTTTTTGGACCTCAAGCGAGTTGAAGTCTATGGAGGTTCACATGTGGCGAAATTTGGCCCGATTTTGAAATTTTTTTTTTTTTTTGGGACCTCTTATGGGTTGAAGTCAATGGAGGTTCAGATGCCGTGGAGGCGAGGTGTGTAGAAGTAAAGGCGGTGGAAGCGGTAGACTGTTGTCAAATTGTTAATTCTTAGAGATAAGGATAAAATTGTATTTTGACTACAATCCCAAATATATCAAATTTATGAACCAACCAGCTGAATGGGATCTTTGACACCCTTGGCAATCTTTGTTGGGAATGAATCTCAATTTCTATCATTCTCAAACCCATAATCCTTGTTGAACCAGGCACCTGCTAAGTCTCCAAGAAACTCAATCCCATCATCTTTCCCTTGTTGGGTCTTTGCCTTTTTCTTGGTTTGATTAGGAACTTCATTCAATAGATACCTTATTCCTAGTTGATCAATTTCACTAAGCAAACTGATATCTTTCATTTGACTCTTCATATATTTTACGACAAAAGATTAGAAGAGACATCAGTGGAAAAACTAAAATAACTACTTTACCACCAAAATGAGTACATTAACTTGAGTAGATCATATACCTTAGAAGCATTTTCATTTCTTTTTCTCTTGTTTCTCAATTATCTCATGGTCGAGGGAATAACTACTTGACTTAATTGAGTTGGTATTCGCCTTGGCTAGTTTGCTACTTTGAATTAGCTCCATTTGAAGTTGTTCCATCAGCACTAACTTTATTTTCAGTAAATTCATTTGCAACCTACAAAGAAGAAAAGATCAAGAAAATATATCGGTTAAAAGCAAAACCATATGACTATGATTATAAGAAAAACCTGAGAAGTATTTCCATTCCTAGCTAGGACATTAGCTCCTTTTTCAGTTGATCTATTTACATCCTACACGAGAAAAACATATAAGAAAAACAACAAGTTTAAAATGTAGCACTGAGATAATTTTTATATTTATTTTAGAAAATATACTTAACCTTAAACTTCTGATTTTTGTAACCCTTTCTTTGCCTAACAGGTCCACCAGCACAAGTTCTTGCATTATGGCCGTGTTCACCACATTTTCCACACTTCTCCCTAAATGATCTCTTCGCTGGCCCTTCAAAAGCTGCCTTTGTTCTCTTAGTCGTTGGTCTGCCAGTTCTTCTTCTAGTCAAAGGTGGACAACACTGTGGGACATCAAACGCAGGCCAAAAGGATTCATCTCGAGCTGGATACAACCTATCCCTATATGTTCTCAGATATTTCGCTTTTGAAAGACTAGAATGGCAGTAATCTTCCAACTTCTCTCTTCTGTTTAGTATCACCACACATGCATGTCTACAAGGAATGCCAGTGAGGTTCCATTCTCTACAATCACAATGTTGTCTTCTAAGTTCACCAGAAAAGACTTATTTTCTTCTCTAACCTCAAAGAGTTTTTCTGGGCAACACCAAAATTTCAATAACCCTAGAGACTTGTGCATTTGTTTTCAGTTTTTTTATAACTCTTGGGGTCACATCAAATTCCCATAAAGCAGTATCTCCATATCGTGTGTTGAACTTGGACATCAACCTACCCCTCAAAGTATCAAACATTACAACCACTGGTTTATCCCTCAAATCTCCAACCCAACTGTTAAAAGATTCTGATATGTTATTGGTGACTTGTTCACACTTCAATGTTTCCGAGAATTCATGTCTCGTCCAAGTCTGCTTTTCAAGGGCATTCAGATATTCATATGCAGCTGGATTGATTTTCTTGATGTAATCCATTGCTTTTATGAACTCACTTTCTGTGTATGCCTTCGCTGCTACCCAAAACAACTTTCTAAGTAGTAAACCAGGAAACTTGGTTCTGAAATTAGAGAGAATGTGATGGCTACAATATCGATGAATAGCATGTGGAACCTCATCCTGGACGGCTTCAATTAGTCCCTTTCAATCACAAAAAATATATATATATATACATATATATATTACATACTTATAAATACACTAAGATGAAAAAAATAGTCATTAAATAAAAAAAGTAGCCAATTAAATGAAAAAAAAATCTCTGCTAAGGGATAAAAAGTACTAACCTTTTGTCTATCGGTCATGAAAGTCCATTCCTTGTCCCCCGGAAATTCATCCATTAGAGTTGATAAATACCTCGAAAAGAACTTCTAGCTCTCTATATTTTCACTTTCTACGACAGCAAATCCTATGGTAACTAATCCATTATATCCATCAATTCCAATAGCACTAAGTAAAACACCACCATATCGCCCATTGAGAAAGCATCCTTCAAAACCTATAAAGGGCTTGCACCCTGACATTAACCCATTTGCAAGTGGTTTAAACCCTAAAAATGCTCTCAATATGTTAGGGATATTTTCACCCGGTGGTGTAGTATACTCTATCTTTGCCACACTCCCTGGGTTACTTCGGTTCACCATCTCAAAGTATTTAGGCAATGATTTTCACGATTCTACATTGTTACCATCTATCATTTCAGCTGCCAAATTTCTTGCGTGACTCAGTTGTTTATTTGATGGATGCACCCCCAATTTAATTAGAGTATCTCTCATAAGTCCAACTTCACAAAGCGATCAGCCTTAACCAAGTCAGTTATTTGTCTTGTCATCCACCTTACAGATGCTGTTAATTTCAAATTCACTTGGCATGTGTGGACTGGTTGACATTTTTTCACCATAAATGTTACACCATCAGGCATCACAGAAGCATGTGCACTCCATTTACATCTTTTTCCTTCGTTTCCTTAACACACAGCTGAACCTCTTGTTGACTCATTTTTATACTTATTCAAAGTGTATCCCCATTGTATAGAGTACTCATATAGTCATATACACTCTCAAATAACATTTCTCATCAATCTGGAATTTTCCCCCATGAATCTTGAATTCAGGCCTATTCAAACATCCATTGAAGGATCATCATCAAAATCACTGTCCGAGTCATTGCAGTCACTAACATATTCATCCAAATCACCTAATTCTAACCCGTTATGATCATAATCATCGTCCTTTTCTTCAATGTAGGTGTACTTCCTTACCATCTTATCATCTTCAGACAGCCCATTATCATCACTGCCGCTCAAATAATACAGCTCATCACCACTGTCATCATTAGGATCATCATCACTATTTTTAAATGTACCATGCTCAACAAATGTTGATGTACCCTCACCAATAGCAGAAGTGCCTTCACCATTTGCAATTCTTTCACTCCTTCGAAGGGAATCACTCTTTTTGAAATTCTTAGTTAACCTCCTTCTATTTCCTTTTTGCTTCACTTTAGTACCATTCAAGGAGTTTAGTTCATCCATACCCTCCAAAACATGCTCGCCATTATGTTCACCATTCAGATCCCCAACAAGAGTTTTAAGGCTCCTAGGATCATTTTCAGTCATATCAACAAGTGGTACAATTGCACTAGGGTTCACATTGCAGCCATCAACATTTTCAGTAAACACAAAACCTACATTAACAGTCACTTGGGAGCTACCAGAACCACTCAATAAACCCCCATAATTATCAGAGTAGCCCACTTCAACACCATTCCACATTTGAGTACTTTTATCCGTTTGTAAAGCATCCTTCATGAGCACTTCTGAGTGAGTGAAAAGTATTTTTTATGCTAGTATTTCTAAAAAATCCAGAATACTCTTTTCCATGCAAATCAACACTATCCAAATCAGCACCCCCCGAAGCTAGGTTATCTTTCGATCCATCCAATACCAAATTCACATCATTAAGATATATTTTTATACACTCTTAATTTTCACACATATTAAAATTTCACCAAGAACATTATCATTCTTCAGAATTACCCTATCTGTCCTACCAGGGATTTCCGCACTAAGAACACAATCTATTGCCACGGTCCAGGATCTTTAAAAATTACCTTAGTCATGTCAGACAACAAAACAACCACTGAGTACTCCTGAGGGTCAACATTTTCAATTTGAAAAACTCGATCTTCGTAGCGCAAGATAAATTTGTGCTTTTTAACAACCTGCAATTCCAGTAGATAGACTAGTTAAAAATAGATACCAAAAGCCTACCATGCTAGGATTTTGTTGAGGAAATACAACATAAAAAATATCAAGCAATAAAATTTACATTTTAACAATGATCAACATGCATTATAAAGCAAAAAACAGAGATGCCACTAATATATATGTTTTAAAGTTTTTAACAACCTCATTAATCTTTAGTTTGATTTTCCTATAGTGGAAGTGCATAAATTTGATAAGGTTAGTGTGTGTAATCAAAAAGGAATAATGTTTCAAAATTAGTTTCTCAGTTCTGAAATTTCATAATACAGTGGTAAGGACCTCATTTCGTTTATGAATTTCCTGACAAACCAAAATATCCAATATGGAAGCCGTTAAAACCAATAAGAAAACTAGGTTGAACATAAAGAGATTTAGTGAAAGAAATCAGGAAAAATAATTTGTTAAATTGAAGAAATCAGACTTTCAAAAAAGTTCCCTGCACCAGAATTTTAAGAAATTCAGTTCATCCGTATCGGATAGTTATTTTCAAATCCAATTTTTGAGCAATCCGTGAGTCCGTTTGATAAACCGTAAAAACCAGAGCAAACTACATTGAATGGAGGAAAGGTTCATGAAAAGAAAGCCCTCAAAATGTGTTTAGAATTAGAACAACAAGACTCTGCAAAACAGCTACTCAGGCCGGACAATTGCTGAAATTTCAGAAACTAAATCATTTTAAATGAACTTTCTTTTGGGACCATCACTACTCCAATGGAAAAATTAAAAGATGCACCATAATCCTCATCAAATGAGGACTGAAATCAATTAAAATTTTAACGAAAATAAACATAGATAGCTGGAGATTCAAGCATCGAAATGGACTTCCTTTTGGCACTCAAGTAACCAATTTAAATGCAACTTATTACTCAAATTAACAAGGTAGGTAATATGCAATAAAGCAGGGAATCATCCGCATATATTCCTTCCCTAAACAATAGAGACCAAGAGGAGAAAATAAAGACACCATTTATTCCTACAAGTTGCTAAAGGTTAGGAATTAAAGTGAAGCAACATGCAACAATTAAACGTGCAGAAATTAAAGGTCATTATATTATCATATTTGAGGTTTGAAGCAGAGCAGCAGAGCGCATTTTACAACATGAAGCAGAAATGATGTTCGTACAAACACAAAATTGCCTTAGGTAGTTAGGCTCTTTGTATGAAAGTGCCTTAGGTAGTTAGGCTCCACTATGAATTCCCAAACCAAATAACTAAACCAAAAATTTCTCTGAAATTCTCAACTTCCAGCAAACCCAAAAATCTTGGAATGATGGATTTTTAATACAAACATATACTTCATTGTAAACCTAATCAATATACAGCTAGAATTTCTTAAAAACACTAAAACAACACATAAAAAACCAACCTTTAAGAAACCCCCAATTTTTTCCCAATTAAAGAAAACAAGGGTTTCAGATTTTTCAAATAGTCTCAGCAATTGGATCCAACGATTATGGGTAAACAAAAATAGCATTTTTGCATGCTAAAAAATTCCATGGATGTAAACAAATAGCTCTATTCACTTTTTATTGTTATTTGCCCGCTTCACCTCCAAACAAATGACTAACGATGATACTTTTTACCACCTTCGTCTCACCAAGAGCAGTGTCGTAACTTCATCGTCCATGACAACTTGAAATCATCGGATTCATTTTCTTGCAGGTAGCTTTAGTTTTAGGATTTTAACAAGAGGAAGAGCTTGAAAGAGAGAGGATCGTGTTTTTCTCCTTTAATCTGTAATATAAAGATCTATTCCTTTTATATTTCATAATAGATGCAGGGATATAAATGAAATTTATCTTTTGACATTTCCCGCCCATAACTACGGCTGAGCCACCTTGGGTTTTTTTTTGTCAATTTACATCTTTGGACCTATTGACTATGAAGTTACGGCGGTCAAGAGGGGTGACTGTCCTAATGATAAATGTCAGGGGGGTATTTGTCCGTTGGACATAACCTCGGGGGAGTTTTTGTCCTTTTCCCAAAAAGAAGTTGTCATATGCAGTTTAATTTTGATTATTTAATAACTGTAGAAAGTAATTATCAAAGAGATTGAGTTTGATACTTTATTCTAGATTTTTCTTGAGTTGAACTTATTTTTATAAATGTTTATCATTGCTTTTATTATCTGTTTGGCATAAATGTTTTGTCTTTGGCTTGTCTAAGAAAAATATTTCAGAATTTTGAAGATCTAATATTATTTATATATTAATACAAAATGATTTTTGCATATATGATACGCAATTATAAGTTCGGTCAAAATGTATAGTCCAAAACTAATTGTTATCTCTCAATATTAACAATTCTATAATTTTCATTACAAGCTGTAAAAAATTCCAACTAAATAGATTCGTCAGGTGAAACAGAAGATGAGATTAGTTATATAAAATTTATTTTATTTTTTCAAATAGGGGTGGTGGATATATGATTTTTTTTTATTTTGTATTCTGAAGGAAAAGTACTAATTCATTAAACTTACTGTAATTCAGTCAACTGTGATTGATACAAAAAACTTGGTATAGAAAACAAAATTTCAACTTCCCAACTTTGAGACTTCGAGTAACTAGCTATTACATGTGGTGGATATATGATTTGTTTATATAGTTTTCTGTTACAAATGGTAATGTGGGTTATGTTTATAGTTATATGGTGGCAGTGCGAATTGTTGCGATGGGTTTTTTTATTGATGACAGAGGGTACCTTGTATTATTTTTTGAGATGCGTGATTAATTATAAGTGTCATTCTTTTCTGACTTTTTATTATTTTTTAGTTGTGGTTTATAACATAGGATGGTTTGAATTTCGTCTAATTACAATAAAGCTGAAAGCTATGATTCAGAATTTAACAATATTCTTTTGAAATTACTGTTTCAGGTGACAACTTACTTTGGCTGGTTTAAATTTCTTTGTAAGCGACTAGATTTTACAATTTTTCACAAAAAAGAATAGATTTTACAAATTTTTTCCACATAAACAATTTCTAATTTTTACTAATTAGAATTTGTGTAAATTTAACTAAAAATTATTACAACCCTCAAAACGTGCGAGTAAGTACTAGTTAAAAGTGAATTAAAAGTGTATTTGGAGTGATAAAGTTGGGCATATCTCATTCTCTCAAACCCTCCCCTCTCCTCTCCCTATTCTCCCAACTCCTAGCTGCCTCTCAAAAAGAATTTTCTTTCCTCCATCTTCTTTCATAGGTCGATGGGGGAATTGATTTGATTTTTCTTAGTTTATAGTTCTTTTAATAATTTAATAAGTGGGATTTGTTCTAAAATATTGTTCCTTCAGTAGATTAATCGTAATCTATTAAGAGGGTATGATTTTTCTTGTAAGGTTCGTGGTGTCTTTCGTATTGTTGATATGATATCTGTAGTTTTGTTCGTTGCGTCACATTATGCGGTTCAAGAAGATTCCGTCATCATAGATTTATTTGATAGATCCATTATTTGGGGCTTTCATCAGATGATTAGAGATATGTTCTTGATGAGATTGATTATCTGGCATGTGATATTTCATCGTTGTATTGGGTAGATCAACATAAGTTTGTCCACGAGAAACACAACAATAGTATTAAGTTTGATTGTAAGTTGTGTTCTTCTTTCAACAATATCTTTCATTATCATCGTTGCTGGACGATTTCCTGTAAAGTATATAATGTAGTTTTTATTTCTAAAAAAAAAGTATTTGGAGTGATAGAAAACTATTTTACTCAAAGTGCTTTGCTAGGTTTCGAGACACAATTCTCTTTGGGGCATAAATTAATTTTAACATGATGCTTATGGTTTCTTTATCTTCAGTATCTTACGCATTCAATGTTCTTATGCAGTATTCCAATTGATTCGAATTATATTACAAGTAATACTGATAATGATCATTAGATTAAGGAAAAAATAGCATTAAGAAAAAATAATCATATTTATGTCTAACTTAATCCTTATATATTAATAGAAGAGAATTTCAGGATAAATTGAGCGTTCTTGCTCAATTGACAAAATTTATTCAGACACGTGTTAAATTGATAGAAGATCGTAAAGAATTCACTTTATAGATATATTTATTATTACTATTGTTAAATTGTAAAAGTTAAATTACTTGATATCAATCCGCAATCTTTTAGCCTATTGAAAAAAAGTTAAATTAAAATTACAAAAATAGTCACAACTCGTTTGTTTTGTTTAGATCCTTAGCCGTTTATTTTGGATTTTGTTTGAATGTTTTTTAGGATGATATGATGACTAATGATAAACAAATTAGTTTTTGAAAAAATTAAGATGATTTTATTTTGTTTTTTATTATCTAGATACTAGTGATGTCTGGTCGCGCAATGCGCGATCCTGGCCCAATATATCTATATATCTTAGAAATACTTGTATCTGAAAAAAAATATTTTGTATTTGGACTAATATATTTTAGAAATATTTTATAAGTGTGATCACAGAAATGTTTGTATTTGGCATAAAAAGAAATTGTATTTGGCCCGGTACATTTTAGAAATATTTCAAGATTTTAGAAATGTTTTATAAGTGTTACTACTTAAATATAAATAAACTTGATCAAACATATATATCTTCAAGTAAATGCTAGACAAAATATAAAAGCATCTAATAAGTTTAAAGATTAGTAAGATAATTTATTGATGTTCTCCATTGGCTGTGCCAAATCAATACTTAGTTTTGGAGATTTATAATAGCTTTGTACTAAACTTCCTCCAAAGGGTATATGCTTAATTGTTGGAACTATTTCTTCCAAAAGTTTATAGGTAATAAAATATCAAAAATATGATTTTGAAACTAGTTAATTGTAGAAACTGGTTGATCACAAATATCAGATGAAAATAATGTAAATTTGCATAGGTTTCAAGTTATAGCAAAAAAGAGTTCACCTCACCATGGCAAATAAAAAAAAAAGAAAGTAAAAGATAGTCCATTAAAAATTGAGAAATTTACTTCTTCTTTTTTTCTGTAGGTAAAAATGATGTAAAAAACACAAATAAACGTAAAAACATCATTTCTTCCCTCTCCACCTCAAATTCATAAAAGGCTTCCCCATAAATTAGTTAGAAGAAGCGATCTGAACTATTTATATGATGAGGAACTAAAAAACAGTCCAAAAGCCAAATCCAAAAAAGTATATTCTTGAAAGCTCGAACACAAAAAAAAAACGCACTTCATTTGCAAATAAAATAAAATAATAATAATAATAATAATTGGTCAACTGGGAGTATGAAACAAAATCAAAAGCAATTAAAAAAAGAAAAAACACACTTCATAACTGACCATTTACAAAAAAAAAACCCGAGACTCCATAATTAAAAAAAGAAAACCACTCTAATTGAATGAAACATAAAAAAAGAAATTTAAAAAACCACACTTTGTAACAAAAATCCAATTAATCAATTTAATCCAAACAGAACTAAAATCATACAAAAATTCTAGACTAACTAACCATATAAGAAATCACATCATATTACCTGACAACGGCTACGGCAGCTGTAACGGATGGACGCATAAAAATAATAGTAATAATACTATTCTTAAACGGGAAAACAAAAAAATAATAAAAGTCAAACAAATGATCTGTTGAAATAAAATCATTTAAATTTTAATACCTGTAATGGCACCAGCACAAAGGCCGAAGCAAGATCAATGAGAATCTTTTTTTTTCCTTTGTGTTTATATAGAGAGGTAAAGAGAATAATTTTTAAAGTCGAAATTTTATCCGATTAGGATGTAGTTGATCATCACTAATGAAAAGATTGAACATGTTAATAGGAAAGGAATATATTTCACCATATATTCTCAATTGATAATTGATGAGGAATTTGTTTTTTATTTTTATTGTGGAGAAGAGATTGATTAGAGAGTCGATTGTCGTGGAGATGGGGATGATGATTTGGGTTTTTTATGAACCGGGGTTTTTTTTGGCGAAAATAGGAGATGGAGGTGGATTTGGACTGCATTTGCCTTTTAAGTCTAAGAGATGTGTAAATAAAAATTTATTTTAAAAATATGATGTGGAAATGCCACATGGCAAATGGTGGTGCTTTCTCTTAAGTGTGGTTTTTATTTCTAATATAGTAAGATGCAGAATAATTTAGGCCAATAAACATATTTTTACATATATTAAATTTGACAATGATTTTTGTTCTGGACTTTGAATTACTATAAACTCTATATATTATACTCCATTCTTCCAAAAGAAAAAGAAAAAAAAGTCCAGTTTGATAAAAAATTTGGTTCCAAAAAAATAGACTAGTTTCAAAAAAGTCAAATTTGAGATGGATAAAATGACTTAACTGTCCTATCAACATTTAGATCTAAGTCAGCCTTCTACAAAACTTCAACTTGCTCAAACGGGATTTGGAGGATCGGAGTTTTCCTTGGCGGTGTCAACATTGTCGGTGGTGCCGTCCGCAACAACATGGTGGCTGCCTTCAGCGGATTGGGCTCATGCCTTGTTCTTTTTCTTCTTTGGCTTACATGGCCTACGGTGCTGCTAGCTTTCCTTTGATTTCTTGACGGTGGCCGCGTTTGGATGTTGGGTTTTCAAATGGCCGTACGGGTACCCGCAACTGACGTTTGCTACTTTGATAATCATTCTATTTGATTCCCCTGGAATTGGGACTTTTGACCAAAATCAAATCAGAGTAAGGCTTCGTCAGTAATAGGGAAGCAGCGGTAGAGAATAACGGCTGGGGAAAGTAAAAAGCAGCGGCGGCGGCAGCGGACAACCAAGAGGTGAACGGCGTTGTAAATGGACGGACGGCGACGACAAACATAGACCAAAGCTCCTGACCAAAGTTAATTAATGTAGTCGCCGGTTGATTTAGTGTGGAAATTTATTTTCAACCAGGGGTAAAATTGAAAGTTTAGAAGATAGAATGACTTGTACCTTGTTGTGGTTGACTAAATTAAAAGAGTTGTACTTTTTGAAAGTAGACTATTTTTTAGGATGGAACGGGTAGTAATTAAAATTACTGTAGAAGTAAAATATTTATTTTTTAAATCAATTTTTCACATACCATCTCAATGATTTGCTGCATGTATTATAATCTTTCTACTAATATAAGTATGTTAAAATTCACAAAGAGTTTTTATAAATGAAACTCCTGTGCAACGCACGGACTAGAACTAGTTACAATTTAGTCGACCTCAACTATTAATCTCAATTTGTTGAATCACTTTGTATTGGGACAATTGATGAACGTGGGTTGTTCGGATCATACTAATCGAATTTAAACATGAAGGGAGCCAACTATACTTTGAACCAACTAATCAAAATTTTGAGTGTTATTTTTATTTTGGAGGTTAAAAATTACTGTTTACATTTCTTTTGTAAAATATCAATAATTGATTTTACACATACCAATAAAACTAACAAAATTTAGTTATTTGTCACAAAATTGCAGTAAATTTCTCAAAATATCCCCAATAACATTAATGAAGTGGTTGAAGTTATTATTTAAATGGGTGAGTTTTAAGGGTAAAGAAAGGATAAAAAGTCATAAAATAATTCTTTGGAAATCCAAAACTTCTTATAGAAAGGAATAAGAAAATTATTTTTACAGGCTCTTATAAATAGGAAATTGCAGGGTAATTATTCTTTGACAATCTTATTGGAAATTTTAGGAAGTTTGCCGGTGATTTCAAACTTTTACTAGCGTTGACCCCAGATTTAATCCGGTCAAGGGAGTTTATAGTAGAGTTACCAAAACGTTTTGGGACAAACACTAAAACGACCAAAAACTTGGGGCGCAAAATTGTATTTAGCCTTAAATCTTAAAATCCTAATTGTTAAAGAAAGTAAAAGAACCCTAGGAGGCAGAGGCAGCGGCAGCGTATCTACAAACCTCCACAACCTATATCCCAAAGGGAAAAAACGCAGCTGCCGGAGTAAAGCTGCCATTGTTGTTGTTGTTGTTAGGTTTATTCATCATCGATTACAGCGGAAACCATGGCGAAGTACGATTTGACACCGAGGATTGCACCGAATCTCGACAGACATCTGGTGTTTCCGTTGCTCGAGTTCTTGCAAGAGAGGCAGCTTCACGCGGATGAAGCCATCTTGAAGGCTAAGATTGAGCTTCTCAATCACACTAACATGGTTGATTACGCCATGGATATTCACAAATCGCTTTATCACACTGACGATGTACCCCAAGGTAGAAATTTTTTTATTTTTTTGGTTCAAATAATTTAGTGAATTCGAAACTGCTTTGAATTTCTATTCTACCGTGTGTTGAAGTATTTGTTTTGATTTTGTTTATTTTTTCTTTGAAAAGTTTGTTGATGATTTTTTTTTCGAATTTATTGGTTTGCTTCATATGGTATTGGAAACTGCCGATAATATACTATATTGAGAATCTCTTTGACATTGGGCACTCGGGCAGAAGAATCAAAGAAGTTTAGAATAGCCCCTAACATGACTGCCCTGGTTTCCGAGTTAATTTTAACAACCTATGTTGAAGAATCTGGTAATTTGGAACCTTGCCTTCCAAATCTGAATTTGTGTGGCAAGATATGTTTTATTACTCTTGAACTGCTTTATGTATGGTGTTGTTATGGTGTTGCTAGTAGTTCCTGGAAACTCTTGGTAAAGTGGTCCTGTAATTTGTAAATGTGTTTTTTTCCCCCTGTATTCTGTTTGTTTTTTTGGTTGGCTGCTTATGATTGAGTTTCGTTTCTTTTAGACATGGTGGAGAGAAGAGCAGAGGTCGTGGCAAGGTTGAAAGCATTGGAAGAGGGAGCAGCTCCTTTGATTGCTTTTCTGCAGAACCAAACTGCTGTTCAGGAGTTGAGAGCTGACAAGCAGTATAACCTCCAAATGCTCAGTGAACGCTACCAGGTACTGGTTTTTTAAGTGTAGTGAAATCCTATATATTTCGGAAATAGTATTGACAAATAGTTGTAAGATTATTCTCGCAAGACCAAGTGAAAGTACACCAGGATTGTTTTTTCTAGTTACTTCCAAGTGAGACATGGATTTTAGTTTGAATTTATTCTCTCGCTAATATTGCTGAAGTTGTGTTTAAGTGTTATTGTCTAATGTTTATTACACAGTTGTAATGATGAATGTTTCTGCTTGTGGCCATTCATGAAATATGAATGCCTCTGGAGATTCGCTCAGCTAGACTATTGATCATTAAGTTCTATGTAGACACACTGAAGTTGGAATTCTGATAAAAACAAAACAAACCAAAGCTAAATTAACTATGTCATGCCTATATTGTACCTTTGTTTGTTTATATTTGAGTCGTCAGTACTCAGTTCATCTGGTTTAGGCTCATGTTTGCAATTCTCTGCAGATTGGTCCAGAGCAGATAGAGGCACTGTACCAGTATGCCAAATTTCAGTTTGAATGTGGGAACTACTCTGGTGCTGCTGATTATCTGTATCAGTACAGAACCTTGTGCACAAACCCTGAAAGGAGTCTTAGTGCATTATGGGGAAAATTAGCAGCTGAGATACTAATGCAGAATTGGGATATTGCACTTGAGGAACTTAACCGTTTGAAGGAAATCATTGATTCGAAGGTGGTTCAAATATTATTTTTGACCTTATTGTTTGGGATTTTTGTTTTGTGTTAAGATTGTGACCTTTAAAGTTTCTTTATGCAGAACTTTTCATCTCCTCTTAATCAAGTTCAGAACAGAATATGGCTGATGCACTGGAGTCTGTTCATATTCTTCAACCATGAAAATGGGAGAACACTAATCATTGAGCTGTTCAATCAGGACAAGTATGTATTACTGTTGTCTTTTTGTGTATTTGACTTAACCTCTGTTTCTGAGGATTTCAATTACCACATATTGTGAAGCTTTATTGCTTTTAGTTGCCCCCTTGTATATATTGACCTTTGCTACATTTTGTCCCTGTTTTTGATGTGTATTACACCCACAAACAATGCTGGAGTTGAACCGAAAGGATTGTTATGATTTCATTTAGGATTTTAGGTACTTGATAATTTTAAAATGTGTAATGAGGAAAGATTGTATTGAGAGCTCGTGCAGTTTTGGTTCCTTGAATGGTTTTTTACTGATAGCTCACATATGTATGTCTCCCACTTTTGCGTACTTTTCATACCTTATCTTCATGTAGTAGTATTCAATCTTTTCCGGTTTATTTTGTTGAACTTAAAGCATTTTACGAATGATAATCATATCTCTTTCAGGTACCTGAATGCTATTCAGACAAATGCTCCCCATCTTCTACGCTATCTTGCAACTGCATTTGTTGTTAACAAAAGGAGACGACCTCAATTCAAAGAGTTTATAAAGGTGATCCAGCAAGAGCAGTACTCATATGAGGATCCGATTACTGAGTTTTTGGCATGTGTATATGTCAAATATGACTTCGATGCAGCTCAAGAAAAGATGAAGGAGTGTGAAGAAGTAAGTATGCCACCTCCTAATACTTGCCTTGAAGTAGAAATCATGCAACACATTTGTTTTCTTTGTTGGTTTTGATTTAGTTTAAGAGTGCATTGTGTCCTCTTTACTTCCTCTAAAAGAGTCAAAACATTTTTTTTGCTGCAATTCACTGGTTGTAGCTCTTCTTTGCTTATCCAAACGTATTTGGCTTTAGTATGGAAAGCTTCTTGAACAGCGTGCATTATTTTTATGGTCTGTGGTATTTTGAATTCCTTAAATGCTTCTGATCAGTCTGTCACTAGGTGCTTTTCTCTTCCTAAATTTGTATGCTCGTATTGAGATATTCATCATGACTGTATGGGCTCCAATACTTCTTCCCCATTGACATGCAATTCCTCTATTTGTTGGAGAAAGTTTTGTTTGTTTCAATAAACAATTGTAACATGAGCAAACCAATTGCAGGTAATTTTGAATGACCCCTTCCTGGGGAAACGAGCTGAAGAGGGCAACTTTTCAACCGTCCCGTTAAGAGATGAGTTCCTTGAAAATGCACGACTCTTCATATTCGAGACCTATTGCCGTATTCACCAGCGTATTGACTTGGGGTATGTACCAGCCTATTCTTCGTTTTCCTTGATTAGTGGAGGTTCTGCATGTTAGATTGTTTCTGTCTTGCGAAAAATCATCGATTTGTGACTCATCCATCTCTAGATATTGTTTAAGTGGTTATGAATTTTTCAAAAGTTGTGACTTCAAACAATCACCCAAAAATGTTGGTTTTTACTGCGGCGAATTTTGTCAAACATCGCTGTTTGTATGTATGATTTCAGGATTGTTTCTCTTTGGTAGATTTTTTGTGTCATGTTTGGTCCTTTTCATTTTCTGACGTCTTAATCCTCTTGCAGCGTGCTTGCTCAGAAACTAAATTTGACCTATGACGAAGCAGAGAGATGGATTGTGAACCTTATTAGGACCTCAAAGCTCGATGCAAAGATTGACTCCCAGTCAGGAACTGTCATAATGGAACCCAGCCATCCTAATGTGTAAGTTATCAGATTCTGGATTCAGATTGTTTGTTTTTCCTGGTTTAAATATGGTGTAAATTGCCTTAATTACCCTGACATTATCATCTTCTTCATTAATCTTTGTTTGGTTTGTTTCAGGTATGAGCAGCTCATTGACCATAGCAAGGGACTGTCTGGTCGCACCTACAAGCTAGTTAGTCAGCTAATGGAGCACTCCGCCCAGCAGCAGGCGGCTCGTTGATTTTTGATGCCAACATTTCTTTCATTTATTTTTGGCCGCTGTTATCTTAGATGAGCTTTGGAAATACATTGTGCAACCATTTTATTTATGTGGCAATTTCATCGCTGTAAGGTACTATGGACGTAGTCAGTGGAGTTTTTATCCTGACATGTAGCATAATATCATCTTAACATTTTCTTTCGCATTCCGTCGAAGAGAGGATTAGACCCCGAAACCACCTCATTTTTGTTAAAAGCTTTTCTATGAACCCAAATATTCGACCGTACATATTTCTCAAGGCAGCCAGTATAAATCCATTACCCAAATCCATTTTTCTTTAAAGTAAAATTACTATTGACTAACTACGCAAGAGACCTAAAACCCAAGTTACATAACGGTTAATACTAATAAATTACTAATCCGCACAATGAAAAATTGTAGGCGCTGGTTTAATACTATTCAGAAAAAACGTTTATATTCAAAAATTTAATACAATCTTCCCTTATACTACTTCCGTCTCACAAAAATAGTCTATATTAAGTTTTTTTAAATTAGTTTATATAAGTTTTTTTAAATTTATACTAAAATTAGTGTAAAATTCAAAAGTCAATGTGACTATTTTTTTGGGACGGAAGAAATATTATTTTTCTCTGTACTCTATTTTTTTCTTTTTTTTTCTTCGAAAACAAATTAATGTACTCAATAGTCCCCAAATAAAAAAATTATTTAGGTCAATGAACATATGACTTTTATTCTGAGACAAGAAATTTCATTGGTTGAACTTTTTTATACGAGTACTAGATGTTAAACCCGCACGATGTGCGGGATTTATTTATATACATTTTTAAAAAATCATAAAAAACTATAAAAGGTGTAGAATACATTTGAAATTTATATTAATACATATTATATAAAGATAAAATATTACGATATGAAATGCAAGTATTGAGTTAATGGAAACATAAACCTTTCTTCATCCTTGTAATCATCACCTCCAACTTGCTTGTTTTTCTAATTTTTTCACACATCTGCATAATTGAATTAAAAGAAAAATGATCCAAGCATGTTAAGGTATAAATAATTACAAAAAAGAATTATACCTTTCTTCTTCATATAAATACACATGCAGTCACGATTTTGAGTGGAATACCAATAACTGATTGAGTCTTATATAAGTAGTATATGGGATATGAGCGCTCAAGTGTGTTTGGTATAAATGAGATTTCTTTTTTAAATTTAAGTGTGATAAGAAATAATAGTCCAAATTCAAATTTGATAAAATAACTTAATTAATGGAACCGGATAGAGGGGAATCATAATTTAAGTTATTTATGGTCGTTATATACAATCATCTTTATTAGTTTTGAATGTGTAGTTGGGAAAATGAAGTAGTTTTAGGAATTGATTTCCATTTATAATTAAAAGCAAAAAAATATCACTATGACAAAAAATATCATTTCCTTAATTGGTTAGGAATAATTTACGGATGACAATAAACTTTTAAATTTTAAATTAATGCGGAAATTTAGTTTACGGGCTTAGGTTTTCCTCTTTTTAATTAATTTATAATTTGAGGACTCATTTTTTAATTTTATTAAGTTTTTTTAGAAGAGGTTTTATAAAATGACACATAGAATTTGCAATTAAAGAATTGCTGATGATTTTGCATTAATTATTTTTGAATTTTAAAAAATCATTAATATTGTTTATGATCAAATCAATATGTAATGGTATTATTTAAGCCAATTGGATAATCTTTTCAAATCAATCAGATTTAATGTTAAATCAAATAAATGTTTACCTTTTTATATGACACTTAATGAAAAAAATTATTAATGTTGATTTTTAAAAAAATTTTCCGTTTTCTTTTTCATTTCACCAAATATAAAATAGAAAGTTTATCACACAATTAATTGATATAATTTAATTGTGAATTGATAATAATTATTTAACTGAGGATTTAAAGGACTATTAATGTAATTATTGTAAATATTTTTTATGTCAACCTATAGAAATATGACACATATGATTTTGTCCTATGTGTCAACGTGAGAAGAAATTTGATTTTCTCTCTTTAGTTTCTCTCTTAGTATAATATATACTATAGATATTCCATTAGTTTTTTCCATTTCTGAATGTATAGATTCCGGGCTAGCCATCGAACTCATTGAATTGTAATTATTTATTTCCTTACAATGAATCGAATTTTATCAGTGATTCAAAATGTATCATTCGAAATAATATTTAAATTGGATTAATATTTATGACTTACTAAATACAGTAAGAGTATCAACAAAATAATATTCAAGACTCCTATTACCCCTATTTTATATGTTTTTATTCTCTTCGTTTGTATTTTCCTCTTTTAATCTTTTTCTTCCCCTTCATTATATCTTCAAGTTTAGAACTTTTTCTCTCCCCCCTTTTTTCGTATTGGTTTTGTTTGATTTTTTCACCATTTTATATTCTCCCCTTTGTATTTTTTAACTATTTTACATTTATATATAAGTAATCTGGTACTCGAAAATTGTAAGACATATTTATTTTAACAATAACAAACATTTCAAAATGAACACTTAAGCAAAGAAAAAAACAATTTAAAAAATGTAAGTTAATAAAATAAAAAAAGTACCAACTGCCCGTTTTTAATTAATTTCCCTTATACACACACACACACACACTAATAGAGCTGCATTTTCTGCATACATTCAATCTTGAACCATAGCCACAATTCAATATGGAAATTTTCTTCTTGCACTGAATACCAAAAGGCAAAGATCAAAATTGCACTATGAATACTTGTGATTAAAACCTCTTATCGATTTGAAAGTTCATTTAAAAAATTATACGGCTGTACGTATACTCAGATGCACATGAAGAATTCAACTTTGGAGTTTCGGAGTGCTATAAAATATAAAGGAGAAATGCTCAAAACACACTCCGAATTTCCATCTCCAAAATGAACACCCTTCTCTCAACTCATTTTGTCTTCTTCAGCCTCCAAAAGTGCAATCTTGGGGCGAGAAATATCGAGTGACTATAAAAAGTGACATCATTGATCCTAACCCATTGAAAATTTCATTGCAGGTCTAAAGATACTGACCTTCAATTCCATGTCATTGAATTAGACACAGGTTTTCATTTCGAGTTTCTTATGAAGTTTCTCGCTTCCACATTATTTTGGCGTAATTTTTGGTGGGGCGGTAATGTTGCCAGTTTTGAAGTTTTCACGGACAAATTGGCTGCGAGATATTGCGGTCAACGGGTAGGGCTTACTAATAAGTGTTTCTGGTTAGTTAGGGACGATGGCTTTTACCTTGCCAATACGGAAACTCCATCCGAGTCTGATTTACAATTTATTCGTGGATGGTAAAGTCCATGACTTTCTTGCTCGATGCAATAATTTTCTTCTTAGATTTCAGTTACATATAAAGAAATGATACTTCAACTTTTTTTTTCTTTTTTTTTTTAATGTGACTTCATTATTTTTTTTTATTTATCTACTGAGTTAATTATAATGTAAATTCATCTTTATCTTCGGTGGAAATTCTACCCTTTCAACTATCACCAGATCCACCGGTATTATATATGCATTCATGCGTTTCTAATGTTTTGCCAACCTTGAAAATATATAATTACTTACTGTCAATCAACGAAGGAAAGGGATAGATGTAATTAGTATGAAGTGAGATGATTAAGCGTTTGAGTTGGGAGAATATTATTATTATGATATGTTGGGTTTGATAACTTTGATTTTTTTTTTTTAGGAAAAGTACCTACTTATATTAAAACGAGGCCTAATCTATTACAATACATCTTGCTATATGCTAAATTATGGACTTCATTGACATCGTTCTTACTAATTTTAGTCAATTTACAAGAAATAAATTTTGATTCGTTGGATGAAGCATTTCTTTCTTTTTTTTTCCTTTAATTTTTTTTTCCTCAATTTTTTTGAGATATACATATTTAAAATGACAAAAAAGAGAAGGTACATATACTATTCTTACATTTTTTTTTTTTTGAAAAAGAAAAAACAAGAAATGTCACAGTTAATCCTAAACTTACGTACGTTAACACTTTATGCGACACAATTAGGAAATATGACGATGTTAAATAATCATCGCAACTATTCACTCCCAACAATTTATTTCCGAAAAAAACTCTAAAGTATGTCCGATAATTCATTGGATCATTTCGATAAAGGCTCATCTTCCATACTTTCTTACACCAGTACTTCTTATAACACAGTGATAAGTATCCTTCCAAGTAATGTTTTTCGCTTATCCACTAAATTAACTAACAATAGGTAGTTTCTTCTAATCGCTTGCGTTAATAACATTGATTAGAATAAAATTACAACATCCAAGAAATAATTATATATAGATTTTCAAAAAACAAAACTTCTCCATCGATTTTAGACAAAAACTTTTTTGTCCATTTATCAAACATTAACAGCATCTATGGAAGCCAAATGCATGCATTGCCGGGCGAACTCCACATTTGAAATCTCTTTCGCTTCTCGCACGAAGATAGTCCGCATTGGATTTTTAAATTTGTACTAAAAACAGTGTAAAACTCAAAACTCAATATAGATTACTTTTATGGGACGGTGAGTATTATTTTTAAATTCTAAATTTTTCCATGGGTCTATAGTTTTTAATTTAATGGATCGTGAATTCTTTGACTTCCTATAATTTGTCGAACAAACAGGATATGCTTCAAATTCCTCAAGCACTTTCATCGCTCCTACTTTGCATTTCAATGAAATGAGCGTACATAAACCCTTATGATTAACCAAGATTACCAACAATTATCCTGTACGTACTTGAGTTTGATGAAATGCGGAAAGGGTCAACACAAAGACTATATTGTGGTTATGCATATTAAAGGCTGTTAAGATCAATATAAGAAGTTCTTAGTTAGGAAATCCATTGAAATAAGAGGTGTTTAGCAAGCTGCCCATAGACTATTGTCATGAGTTCTTCACTGAAGCTAAAAATTCACATTCAGTAAAGATGCTTGGACATTAGTGCATGATAGTGTTTTCAAAATGTTGTGATAAAGATATGCAATATCAATTAGTTTTGGTTGGTTTTGATTTTGATAGTACTATATTTAGCTTTCTTTCTTCTCTAGTAAGTCTTTTCCACGGCAAAAAAAAAGACAAAAATATTTTTGGTTAACTAAATGTATTAAATGACCTACATTAAATTACTGGATTCAAGCATGAAATGGAGAATCAATTACCGTCTCTTCTGTTTTTAGAAGAAAAAAACATTGAACTCTGAGTAGTCTTTAGTTCAATGTATATACCCGGAGAATCAAACTTGTACTACGTCTTACCACCATCATAAATTCAGGAACTCATATTGCAAAGATTTCATTCTAAAAAGAGGTATTGCTGCGAGTACAACAAAAAATGAGAACCCTTTTATCAATACTAGTTTTTGCATTTTGCTTAATTCAACCTCCATCAAAAGTGGAAGGACTTTTTGAGAAGTATTTTGTGATCATAAAAATGGCATATCTGATCCCCTTCCTCTCTCGTTCCATTGTTACTCTAAAGACGACGATCTTGGCTTTCATGTCCGCAACTTGAATGAAGATTTCAGATTTCATTTCAACAGGGGTTGGAGCACAAAATTCTGGTGCGAGTTTTGGTGGAGTGGCAAACAAAGGACGACTTTGATGTGTTCAACCATAATTTGGCTCCAAGTTGCGGAAATCGTATTGCCAATACGTGTTTTTGGTTAGCTCGGAAAGATGGCTTCTGGCTGGCCAATAAAGACAATCCCGACGAGTCTGATTTGCATCTCGTAAATAAATGGGAGTAGTTTTATTTATTAACTACAAGATATTTTCAATTTCTATTCCGTATGCTAAAGATGTAAGAATTAAGAATGATGTGTCAACATATGTTTTTATGGAACTCTAGTTTCCAATTATTATTTGTTACATCTATCAATTTTTTTACTTCTGGAAGTTTAAGCATTTATAACTATTACCAATTAATTAAAAGAGAATGAAACATTCAAAGAGCAAAAGCTATTCTCAAATAAATGACTCATTCTGGCTTATAAGGGTGTCACGATCGACTTGACTATCAAAACAAGGATTCAGATGGGAAATAAAAAGAATAGAAGAATTGAAGAATTTCAAGAGGTGACATGACGTTGAATTGAGGAGAAAAGGAAAAATTGGGAAAGAAGAAAGAGTTCAGCAATTCTCATTCATTCATCGATAATTTTTCTCCCTAAGAGCAATGTACTATTAAACTGATGAAATCAGCCTTACAATTAAAAATTACTTTTTGACCTCTTTAATTTCTTTTTATTCAAAAGCAGCCCCAAGAGCATGACATACCCGACACCCGTCCTCTTAAATTAAGTCTTGTCCTCAAGACTTCTACTCCAACAAATTGAAACTCCTTCATCAGCATAGTTGTGTTGTTGCCTAGGCTGAAAAGAAATCACAGTGCCCCCTCTAAATCATCGGATCTTTTCGGTAAAAGACCATTCACTTTCCTACACCAGTACTTCTTACAACACTGTTCTAATGAGTGATAAGTATTTTTTTTACTTATCCACTAAGTTAATTAACAATAATTAGTTTCTTCAAATTACTTACGTTAATCATATGTAGAATATAATTACTACGTACATCCAACAAATAATTATAGAGTTTGAAAAACAAAAATTTTCTATGGATCTTACAATGCTTCCGACATTAAACCCCCAAATCCCCCTTCCCCTTAATTCTTTGGCTGGGTTTATTTCTTCTCATTTTGCAGAACCCTAATGTTCATTTATTAAACGGTTTATTCCCTAATGTGCATTTGCAGAACCCTAAGTTGCTAACGGTTTTGTTCATTTATCAAAGATTAAAAACATCTATGGAAACCAAATGCATGCCGGCCGTACTCCACATTTTGAAATCTCATCTATTTTCTTGTATTATTTTCAAATTCTGAATTTCTCCATGGTCAGAGGCGTTGAAAAAATGATGGAAAAATTTTGTCTTCGAAGTTCTGTAATTATTATTATTATTTTTTTGAAAAGGCTGTAATTTTTTGTTGCACGTCACAAATATATTATAAAAATTACTTAACTTAGGTTGTGAATGATTAGAAGGAACTAACTATCGTTCATTAATTTAGAACGAGGAAGTAAAAAAAAATATTAATCAAAATATTTGATACTTGTTAAATGAATGAAAAGAAAGAAATTATCTCATGTTCCCTTGTCCTACATGGATGGATGGAGGCTCTTGAACTCAACATATATATCCTATGTGCTACTCCCCTCATTGCTAATTGGTTTTGAGGTGGAACCATATGTGGACCTATATTTGGGCCTTTAAGATGGTATCAGAGCGGGCTTTAATCCGCGGACCTGTGGGACTTGTGGGGCGAGGTGGACTGATCCAGATTGGGTCTTGAAACTTTGGTCAACCCAAGGAAGAAATGCAGGGTTTGACTTTAAATTTTGACTGGCCCGGCAGGCGACGGTTTATCTGAGAAAATAACCGATCTAAAGACTGAGAAAAAAATTAGAAAAAATATATATAAAATTTCCCGTCCAAGCCCATTGGGCTTGAGAGGGGCGTGTTAAATGAATGAAAAGAAAGAAATTACCTCATGTTCCCTTGTCCCACATGAATAGATGGAGACTCTTGAACTCAACATATATACCCCATGTGTTACTCCCCTCATTGCCAATTGGTTTTGAGGTGGACCACATGTGGACCTATATTTGGGCTTTCAAGAATACTTGTCACTATAGAAAATAGTTTAGGAAAGTAGGTTCGATGATCCTTTTCTACGGGAAAAAACAAAAAATGTTGTTAGTTAATTAAACGTATTAAATGAGCTACATTAATGACCGATCTCTTCTGTTTTTAGAAGAAAAAAACATTGAACTCTGAGTCTTACCACCATTATAAATTCAAGAACTCAGATTGCAAAGATTTCATTCTAATATATATATATATATATATATATATATATATATATATCGCGAGTACAACAAACATGAGAACCCTGTTATCAATACTAGTTATTTCATTTTGCTTTCTTCAACCTGCATCAAAAGTGGATGCACTTTTTGAGAAGTATAATGTGATCATAACAAATGGCATATATGATCCCCTCCCTCTCTCGTTCCATTGTTACTCTAAAGACGACGATCTTGGCTTCCATGTCCGCCAATGGGATGAAGATTTCAGATTTCATTTCAGAAGGGTCTTTAACACAAAATTCTGGTGCCAATTTTGGTGGAATGGCAAGCAAAGGACTTTTGATGTATTCCACCACAAGATGGCTCTACGTTGCTATAATCGTCATGTCAATACGTGTTTTTGGTTAGTTCGGAAAGATGGCTTCTGGTTCGCCAATAAAGACAAGCCCAACGAGTGTGATTTACATCTTGTTAATGAATGGGAGTAGTATTATTATAATTAACTAATATTGGTATTTTCAATTTCTATTCCCAATGTAAGAGATTAAGAATGACGTGTAAAACATCTATTTTATGGAACTCTATTTTTATGAAACGTTTGACTATTCCATTTCTTTTTAATATAAAAGAAACTTTCATTCAATTTGTTGGAAAACGTATTGAAAGAGGATTACAATTCCTAATATATTACAACAATCGATTCGAATTTTATAACTTATATTCAATCGATCATCTCTTACTGCGAACGACTAAAACACAAACTCTTAAATGAGAGAAAATGAAATATTTATCAATGAATCATTCTGGCATATAAGGGGAAAAATCTTAAAAGAGGCAGTTGGGGTAAAATACTGTGGAATATTGGGTTTAACGTTTTAGGGCTGCAAAAAGCCCAATAATGCCACAAAAAGCATTTTGTCCATAATTTTAGGCCTTTTTAAATATTTATTAAAACGTCTCCGGCCACATCATTTACAATTTTCCAACCTGAAAACTCCACCGCTTCAGAGTTCCGACAGATGACAAAGGACGGAGGAAGAATACTCACGCAGACGGCGATTGAGATGCGATCGGAGTGTTAAAAGATGTGGTTTCGAAAAGGAAGAGTTTCAGGGAAGGAAGTAGAAAAAAAAAACTGATCAATCAGAAAGAATTTTTACATTGAAACACTGGAGAACTAATTGGGAAGCGGAAGGAGTTACTGAATTCCGGCAAAAAGCGACGAAGGAGGCGACAAGGATGTCGAGGTGGAGCTGGATCAATTTCTCTTTTTTTGAACTGGGGCAGTTTCTTTTTTTTTTCCCCCTTGAATTTTGGCGTTCCCAATTTCTTTTCAACATTTGAACTTTCTTCGATTAATCGTTATGGATTTGAGCAATCAAGATTTTTGGGAATGGAAAGCGGAAGCCGTAATTGTAGATATCAATTGCCATATGCCATAGGCCTACACGTAGAATTCCAGTGGCGATTGTGGAGGCTTTTTAATTTGTTCACATCATGTTAAATATTACCTTTTTTTGCAGTCATAATCAAATTTGAAGAAACTTATTTCTCAAGAATAAATATGAGAGAGAGTTAATGGTCTAAAATCAGTCTTCAAAGCAACAGAAGGATTATACGTGACCGTGATGGCTAATGTAAATATCTGTGGTGGTGTTTCCTTAGTTCCAAAGAAACATTCAACTGCAATTCTGCAAATCGTCATCAACTGTCAAAATGATTGGCTACAATTTTGTCAGGTCCAATGGAGCATTATATACTTTCAAAAAGTTGCTGAATTCTGAAGCAATTGCTCTGAAAGAAGAACAGAACAACTATGGGGGACAGGGTTTCTGTGAACAACAACAACAACAACAACCCTTCAACGAAATATGGTGTTTTTGCCTTAGTATTATTAGCCCGACTGATCATCTCCACCGCCAGTGAATGTGACGGCTATGTGGAGACTTTCAATCTGCGGACCACGGCAGAGGATTATCTCCAAATGCCTCAGAATTCACCATTCAAGATTGCCCTTTTTGCAGATTTGCACTTTGGTGAGGATGCTTGGACTGATTGGGGACCTCGACAAGATGTGAATTCCATCAAAGTCATGTCCACTGTTCTTGATCAAGAGCAACCAGGTGAGGTACATGGCTTCTGGCAATAAAAAATCCAATCTTTTTCCCATAAATATTTTTATGTTATAGCCGTGATATGCTATGAAGTTTGATGTTTGTTGTGAGATGTTGTACTAAGGCTATGGAGTATATTCCTAATATTCCGAATATGCTATGGAGTATATTCCTCTAATTATTGCCCTTGCAATGGAGTAAGAATTAGTTAGTTGGAACTGCTCAACTTCTTTGTGTTAAACATGAGTACCACCTCTTTGTGATTAATAGATTAAATCTTTTGGTACATGTTGCTCTTCAGCTTAAAGTTTCAAGTAAAAACCTTTATATCATACATAATGTTCAGGTGCTGCTATTGAGTGTTCACAAATGATCATTCAATTTCTGCACATTCTTCTGCTAAATACTCGCCAAAAATGTTCTTCTATTTAAGTGAGATCTACATCAAATTCATGTGCTTATGGCACACTTGGTAGAGCATTCTAGATTCATAAGTTTGGGTGTTCTGTTTCGTGTTTTGGGATCATCTTAATTGGAGAGTCCATTATAGCTTGAACACATTATAGCTTGAACACAAATGATTTTATCAAGACCACGGTGACGGATTTTTAAGCATAAACAGGTGTTAATCATATGATCTACATAGCTGAACCCATAGACTGAAATGCTGGCTTATTTTGCGGGAAAATACAAAATCTTTTTTAACTTGTGATGTGTTGACGTGTAAAATTCTGTTACTTAATTACACTAGAAGTGGTGCTAGGAAAAATGCTTTTGCAGTCTGATGGAATTTTGGCAGAATGAATTAGGTCTTTAAGAGTCTTTACAGAGATGATAACCTTTAAAATCAAAGATTCGTCATTTGATCCCCCTGACTTGTCATCTAGGCTTTGTGATTTATCTTGGAGATGTCATCACAGCCAACAATATCCCGATACAGAATGCAAGCTTATATTGGGATCAAGCAATCTCCCCAACCAAAAATCGGGGTATACCATTTGCCACTATCTTCGGAAACCATGATGATGCTCCATTTGAGTGGCCACTAGAGTGGTTTTCATCCCCTGGAATTCCTGAGCATCATTGCCCCGCAGTCAATGTTTCAGATCCAGGTAACACTGAAGCTTTATAGGAAATGAAGAGAAGAGTAGTGTGTGTCTGCGACTTGCATTTAATTCCTATGAAATTGATCTTATTCAAAAATCTTGCAAGGGGATATCAGTACCTTCAGTATATAGTTTTTTTTTGGTAAAGGAATGTTAATTTCATTACCAAGTATCAAGAGTTTGTTTACAATTGAATATGTCCAATCATCACAAAGCATCAAAGAGAAACGCGCCAAAATCACAGATTTTAGCGTTTTCTACTCACTATCACAGGAGACAAGTGAATCTTATTACACCAAGCTAATACTTTTGAAGAATTACGGACTCTCTCAATAGAAGCATATCATTGTATGACACATGGGTTGTAATTTTTTCTTGATGTGTCATTTCATGTATCTACTAAATGTATGAAAAATCAACCAGTACTCGGTGAACATATGTCCCCTGCAAACTGAAGCTGCACCATACTGATCACCTTCATTCCATTCACTATTACATATTAAGGAGTTGAACAACTATGTTTGTTGCATTTCACATGTATACAATGATTTCATTCTTTAAGCCAGGCCAATAACATTTTTGCATCACGTATTCACATACAACCAAGATAATTCAATTGATTATGCATGAAATGAAGGTTTATTATAAAATAAAATACAGATTTGTGGAAACTCTTACAGTAAGCAGTACTTCATTTTGTAGACATAACCTGCAGCTTTAAGGGCACAACACGTTTGGAGCTAATGAATGGAGAGATCCTGCATAACACATTGTCCCTTACTAAGAGTGGACCTAGTAAACTATGGCCGAGTGTTTCCAACTATCTTCTTCAACTTTCATCATCAAATGACCCGGAATTGCATGTTGCATTGATGTACTTCTTGGATTCTGGCGGTGGGTCATATCCCGAGGTTATATCTGGTGCGCAAGTAAAATGGTTTCTGCAGAAGTCTCAAGAGGTTAACCCCAATTCAAGGTAGTTGAACATGAAAAATGAATATTTGTAACGATCTCCTCTTTCCAATGAATTTAATCGTCTGACTCATATATCTCTGTTAATGATGTTTGTGAATTGTATTTTAGCATTTCATATTTAAAGAACCATTAGCAGAAACATAAGGGCGTGGCCTTAATTTTCCTTTTGGGAGGATGTTTACGAAAATCGAATAAACTAATTTGCGAGAACTTCATCCTTTGTGAACATTGACCAGGATTCCAGAGATAATATTTTGGCACATACCAAGCAAAGCCTATGAGAAGGTTGCTCGCAGGCGGCCGTTTAAGGGGAATTGTGTAGGTTCATTGTTTAAAGAGAGTGTTGCTGCCCAAGAAGCCGAAACAGGTATCATGCAACTTCTTGAAGAAAGGCCTTCAGTTAAGGTAAGGTATACTATACATGAAGATTTCTCAAAACCTCTAGTTGTCACTTTGTTGTACTCTGGTCAACTGCTAGGTGAGAAGACAACGAAACTTCGTTTTCAAAATGCTCACGTCCTTTCTGAACACAAGAAAACTTAATTGAATGTCCCTCTAATTTGGAAAACCATATATAATGCTGTAGTACTTTGCTGAACTTCAATTTTTCATCCACAAATACATTGTTTCAAAGGTTATACGTGCACACTAAGCATAGTTCATTCGTCATGGTCTTAATAAGTGTTTGTTTGTGTTGCAGGCTGTATTTGTAGGTCATAACCATGGTTTGGACTGGTGCTGCCCTTACAAGAAGCTTTGGTTATGCTACGCTCGCCACAGCGGATATGGAGGCTACGGAAATTGGCCGAGAGGAGCGAGAATCTTAGAGATAACCGAGAAACCATTCTCTCTCAAGTCGTGGATTAGAATGGAAGATGGCACATCTCACAGCTATGTTGTCCTGAGCTCATCCTGATGTACAATTTCTAAGTAATTCCTCAGTACCTCTATCTTGCAACTAAATGATGCAACTATACTGCGCAGTGTAGTGCGCTACTAATTAGAATGAAAAGAAGTAAATTAGAGGGAAAAAAAAAAAATACTCTCCCTGTCCCAAAAATATAGTCTAACTGTACAAATATCAAAATTTACTATAGACTATTTTTTTGGGCGAAGAGGAGTAACTTTTACTGCAAATTTAATTCAAGATGTCTGTTAATTGTTGGTATAACTAGTCACAAAATAGTAGTATTTGCCATTTGGGAACATAGAATCTGCTTTCTTGAACATTCCAAGTTTCATGTAGAGAGATTTACTAATTACCTTTCATATATGGTGAACATTTTTCTCTCAACAGAAACGGCTGCAGCAGTAAAAAAAAAAAAAAAATTACGAAAAAGATTATACCATATTTGAAATCAATTTAGAACCACACCCACCATATTTGGTCAAATTGATTCTCGCATAATTACCAATTGCAATGAAAAACCTCTGCGGCTCTGCCACAAAAAAGGCCAAGAGATTTCAACAAAAGCTTTCACTTTCATTGGGTAATAAGATATTAAATTTGAGGCAGAGATCTGTCTAAATAAATAATTAACAAACTCCAAGCAATGAAAACGAAACACAAGAACAAAGAAGTAAGAATAAATTTTCAGGATTTCTATAGTATTTCAACATTAATGAATTAGATAAGTATCCTGATTTCTTTGGCTATACCATATCTGATATCAAATTATACGTATTAATTTGAATGAGGTGATTTTACAAAAACAATTTCTAATATCCAAAATAAATTTAGAATGAAAAGACAAAACCACAGCCACGAAAATGATCGATGAAACTGTTTCGGATTTTCTTCTTTAATTTGTTTCCGATTTAGGTTTCTTAGCGGTTCCAAATTCAAATAAGAGGATTCATGTTTTCTGAACCTAGTCTAGAAATTTAGAGAGCCAGAGAGGTGTGAATTGAATCCTACCGTTCTTCTTGGGGCAATTGTGTTTTTTATTTTACATTTGTTTTGGATGTTAAAGATTATTTTGGCAGCTTTTTTATTCCGATTAATGCAGTGTTGAAATTATTGAATTTTCCCGTAAATTAGGGGATTTTTTAGCTAAGGATTTTCTTCTTATGTTAATTCATTTAATTAAAGAATAAATTCAAATGTTAATTTTAGGATTACGTTTGATACACAATAACATTATTTTGTCGTTACATTTTGGAGATATCGTTGTTAATTTGGGAATTATTTGGCCACTAATGTGATTGCGAGGGGATTAGGATCCGTATTTTTCTAAAAGTTTATATTACGACGTCACTTATGATTTCATCCTAATTTTTAGGCGATAGACTATTATGTCATTAGTTCCATTCCATTTGTGAATGCGATGCAGATGTAATTACGAAATTCTATGTATCATTAGAGTGTTATAAGGGTGATTAAATGCATTAAATCTGTTAAAACGAAATTAAAGTTATTCAATCTCTCTCATTATTGTACAACAAGGAAAAATGCTTCAAAAGAAGGAAAAAAAAACTAGTGGATATATTCAGTTAAATGTGATAGTGACGATCGAGGAATGTGTGATGTATTTTTAAAGTGTAATTTGGTAATCTTTTCATTTTATCATCCATTACCATAATTAAGTGTATGTTTTGAATCGTTCTACATTTGATTAGTCAGATTAAAGAATTTTACTAGGAAAAAGTATTTTACTCTGAATGCTCTAAAGTTCAATGCATATGCCATCACATTTTATTTTAATTTTTTTTAACTACTTGTTTAATGCTAGTCCGTTAATTCGTTCCACAAAAATAATTCAAATTATGGTTTGTAAATTAAAATAAAAATAATATAATTCACATGCATGCAATTTAGACTATTTTTTAGAACAGAAGAAGTTAAATATTTTACATATTAATAAATTTAATTACAAAAAAAAAAAATACTCTACCACTTTCAGAGAGGGAAAAAAGATTGAGTTTAAGTACTCTAATTAAGTTCAATGAATATGCCTGCGAAACCGACTTAGGACCAACAGTATAAATTCAAGCCTTCTTCAACGGATTCATCCACAAAAGTAAACATTAGTACTACAGCCAACATGAAAACCCTCTTCTCTGTACTCATCATTTCATTTTGCTTACTCCAATCTTCAAGAGTGGAGGCATTTTTTGAGAAGTATCGTGTCATCATAAGAAATGACATAGTCGATAGTCTTCCCCTCTCATATCATTGCTATTCTAAAAGCGACGACCTCGGCTTTCATGTTCGCCAAACCGGCGGAGAATTCACATTTCACTTCCGCCGAAGTTTTAACACCAAATTCTGGTGCCAATTCTGGTGGAGCGGTAAAGATTTAACTTTTGATGTATTCAATGACCATCTAGTCGATGATTATTGCGGTGACAGAATTGCAAACACTTGTTTTTGGTCGGCAAGAAAAGATGGTTTCTACATTGCCAACCAGGACAATCCAAGAGAGGGTGATTTGCATCTCGTAAATAAGTGGTGATTTTGAATTATGGGTTGGAAGTTTGTTGTCTTCATTTCTTCCTAAAAGAAAGATGTATGATTCCATTGTATGGATACAACATCTTTATGAAATTTTATATGTATAATATAATATCCAGTTTATACTTGAGTTCCTCCTCTTTATTTCTTTCTTCTTCTTCTTCTTTTTATTTTTTATTTTCTTTAATTAGATGTTCTACACTTCATTCTTAATTCTTACATCTTAACATTCAGAATAGAAATTGAAGATCTTGTAATAAATCAACTATCATTTATATTAACGAGATGTTAATCAGACTTCTTGGAATTGTCTTTATTGGCAAGGCAGAAGCCATCTTTCCGAGCTAACCTAAAACATGTATTGACATAATAGATAATACGATTACCGCAACTAGGAGCCAAATTGTGGTTGAATACATTAAAAGTCCTTTGTTTGCCGCTCCATAAAAAATGCTCTGGAATTTTGTGTTCAACCAAATGAAATCTGAAATCTAGACCTCTTTTCTTCCTCTAAAAAGCAATCATCAAATTAAAATACATAATAAACTAATAATATGTGATATGTCAAGAGATTTGCTGGTGTTATTATTTTTGCCTACATACTTGGAATTCTGAAATTTTGCGCGAAGTTTCTTCTTCTTTTTTTTTTTTTTTGTAATATACACCTCATTGTCCGTAATTATTTTTTATATTTTTTTGTTAATTATTTAATCAACGGATAATGTTTGGGAATCTTCAATATCTTAGAAATTAGGAAATTATTATTAAAGGAAAATATGTCATGACTATAAATTTGAGAAGGGCGTGTATTTCTGCATTGCTTTAGACATAAATTTCTGACTATTACCTATGTGTTTTGTTGAGAAGAAATAATATTCACCTAAATTGATGAATGTCTAAGTATATATACTTCCTTCAAAATCTCAAAACTCATTGTGGACTATTTTTCTGTAACAACGAAAATGAGCATTTTCTTTTCCGATTATTGTAAGGGATTCAGTCATCAGTATTTGCGACGGAAACAAATATTCAGTCAAAGCACTGTCTTTAACAATCCTAAAAAATTCTCACCATTTTCAAGAATGGACAAAGGGGAACATAATGACAAGATTTTGTTAATAGGAACTGAGGAAGAAGTTAGACTAGATTGCCGGGTCGTTTCTTTTGACACTTTTTGAAGATTTCGACACCGTGATAATGAAAAAGTTTAATAAGCGTTTAAGATTATTCACTCTATGATAGTGTCAACCATGATCGGTAAGTATCAAGATCAACACATGTTGACGGACTGAACCTGGGTCGGCTTATGATCATTCTTCATATTTTTTCTTTTCCTATTATAATTAAATTTAGAGTTGTAACAATTTAATTTAGACAGTATTTTCTGTGAACTTTTTATGTAACACTCATTGTTATACATTCCAATTAATTTATCTAAATTTTGTATTTTGTTTTAATATATGCACCATGGAATCATATTTTCATGGCCGATAGTTTTCATTTTAAAATTTTATTTTTATTAGTATTAAATTTTTTAATTAAGGTTTAATATATTTAACTAAATTTTTTTACACAATGAAAATTTAAATAAATAGGCACTGTTAGGGATTTATCCAGAAAGAATATCCGACATGGAACACAATAAGTAAAACTAGATGCTTGGCCCGGACGGATGTCCAGCCGATCTCTTAGAAATAATATTGTTACTAATTTGTAATTATAATAATGATAGTAATAACAATAATGATAATATATAGATTTGGGTTAAAAAGAGTTATAGGAAAATAAGATGGAAAAATGGTAAATAATAGAATGGTGTGGGTATAAAATAAATAGATCAAAGTCAGGGGATCACTTCCGTAAAATCGTTTTCTGCAAAAATATAAACAAAAAAAACGGGAAAAAGGCATAACTTCTAGTCTTGTTCGTATCGAACAGATATGGAAAGTGAACATTTCTTACCTCATTTTAGAAGTCCGGCCATCAGATCTGATTAGTGTAAAGGCCTTCCAAATTCTTTCCATCTGTTCATCGTTACCATCTCTTCATCTGTTCATCTAGATTCATGTGCTTTCGAGAAAATCCAAACATTCATTCGGTTCAGAGAAGAATCAGATCGATTGGAATAATCAGCATCATTGAAGGAATTGAAAGCTATTGAGGGGTTCGCAGATAAAGATGTTCTTGATTACAGATGGATATACGTCTGTTGCCGTGTATCTTCTATGATGGGATATAAATCGGTTCGTGATATGAGTGTTCAATCAAAGTTTGTGAGCTGTAGTTATGCAAGATTCTAGGTCGGAATTCCCATTTCAATCTGTGCGCAAAAAGTATCACTTCGATTGTACTTAAAAAGGAGGTAATATTATTGACAGTGTCATATGGTATGCTATTTATTTTCGTTGACAGTTATGTATTTCAATCATTTATTTTATTACAAATGTATGTTTGAACATGTAAATGGTGTTGTGCAAAATATCTTTGATGAAATGCTCAGTCAATGTTCAGTATGAAAGCTGGAGTTTAACATGCAAGATGATATTTGGGCAATTTGTTTTTTGATGAGGTAATTATAAAGTTTTTTAACCTTTTGTTCTGATATTATTTAATTGACATGTACTGTGTTAAAGTACATATGTTTTTGTAATTACTGAGTATATTATTTTTTGTTTTTAACAGTTAATTGAATGTTTGTATTTATTTGTTTGTATGGTGTGCATAATAAATTGTTATCAAGGGTGTGGTTAGAATGGATTTTTTGAAAAATGATAATGATTTTAGAATAAGAAATAGCTCACAGATGTCATAATTTCCTTAAACCTAATATGAACTTACCCATATTGCTGAAATCTTCCT